GTCCCCAAGGCCAGAGAGAAACAGGCCTGGGCTGGGCAGCCCTGGCAGGGGAGGGCTTTGCTGTCCCAGGTGACTCTGCAGCACTGTGGGACCTGTGAGAGAGATGGAGCTGATCTCCATGGATCAGCTGCCACTGAGGGAGTCCCTGGGGGAGGACAGCCTGTGACCCAGCCACACTGTCCACATCATGCTGGGGGCTGACTGGTGAGATAGCAGCTCAGAGAAGGACCTTTGGGTCCCGGAAAACAGCAACCTGAGCAGGAGTTATCAATGCACCCTCCTGGAAGAGGGCAATACCCTCCTGGACTGCATTAGGAAAAACATTGCCGGCAGATGGAGTGGGGTGGCTCTTCCCCTCTAGTCAGGACTGGTGAGGACATCTCTGGAGTGATGTGTCCAGTGCTAGGCTCCTCAGTTCAACAAAGCTGTTGACCTTAAAAAAGCAAGTCCAGCAAAAAGCCATAAGGTGCGTTAAGGGACTGCAGCATCTTTCATAGAGCGAAAGGCAGTGGAGTTGGCTATCATAAAGCTCTGGATAACGAAGGGCTTGAGCACGCAGAAAAGGTCCCTTCTCAGGACTCAGGTGTATGGTCGCAGATGGGAAGTGCCAATGTGGGGGATGATCAGTGAAAATTGTGCTGGGACAGCTTCCTTGGAGTGTCTAGGGAATATGGCACAGATCGGGCCCCTCACTTCTGCACATTTCATGCTATACTTCCTTCACTGTGTCACATGGCTCTGCAGTGTGAGCACCCTCTTAGGTGCCCTCACCCTGCACACTCAAACAGCTGAGCTCTACATGGGTGTTTTCCTCTCCCAGACACTTTCCTGCCCAGCCCAACCCAGCCCTTCCCCAGCTCTCTCCACCTCCCCTGCATTCTCCCCAACCCAGTCAAGGAGAATAGTCCCCACAGAAGTGCCCTCCATTGGCTGCTGCAGAACTCTGAACACTCACCCCACAGCCCCAGACCCTCTGAAGGGCACAGGAGCTCCTGGGGAACAGAGAGAGGTCTCAGCCTTTCCCATCATCCCCAGGGCTGAGGGCCAGCCACAGCATGAGGAGACAGAGGCCAGTGTCTCCCACTGTCCCCTGCTCTTATCTCTAAGAGATACTTATTGAAAACTATTGCATGTCCCAGCCCCTCTCCCCAGCACAAGACTCCTGGCCTAGGGGCTCCTCAGGCTGCTCCTGCTGCCTCAGCCATGCTGGCCTGTCCGGTCTCTCTTTCTCCCTACCCATGCTCCACACCACACCATGAAATGGCAATGCTATTCTGCAGGGCAAGTGGGCTGTGGTGTCTGAAAGCCACGAGGAGACAGTCCAGGGAGTTTCCTATTTGTCATTCACCATTTCCATTGGAACTGGTCAGCCATGCTGGCCTGTCCGGTCTCTCTTTCTCCCTACCCATGCTCCACACCACACCATGAAATGGCAATGCTATTCTGCAGGGCAAGTGGGCTGTGGTGTCTGAAAGCCACGAGGAGACAGTCCAGGGAGTTTCCTATTTGTCATTCACCATTTCCATTGGAACTGGGTACTCATCGTTGGAGACACAGGACAGGCCATTTCCACAAACTTCGCCCCATGCCCACCTCCCCTCATCCCATGGAGAACCCTTGCACAGTAGCACGGCCTTGGGCAGAAAATTATGTAGCATCTCCCTGATCTCAGCTTTCGGAAAAGAGCCCAAACTCCAGACACTGGCATTGACAAAATCCCCTTTTATTAGAAAGGTTTCAACAGGGAGGCCACCTGTACTTACATGCCACACCAATGTGTAAAGACCCTTGGGTCATCAGACTTCATTCATGCCTCAGGAGAAGTGGGGAGGATGCAGACATTCCTGGAGAAATAGAATTGTCACAGATAAAATGCCCAAAGAACAGGAGGTCTCCTAGATACATTGGAAATCACTTGTGAAGAGACATGGGGAGCTTATTGCTTCTGAAAGAATCCTGATTGAATGAGCTTCTTCAGGGCATCTTTGAGCTCCTGGTTCCTCATGCTGTAGATGAGGGGGTTCACTGCCGGAGGAACCACTGAGTAGAGGAATGACAATACCAGGTTCAGGGATGGCGAGGAGATGGAAGGAGGCTTCAGATAGGCAAACACTGCAGTGCTGTTAAACAGAGAGACCACGACCAGGTGAGGGAGGCACAAGAACTGGTCCACAGCATTGCCCTGGCAGAGGGGGATTGAAAATGTGTTGGCAGTCTGCAGCCCAGCATAGAGGAACCCACTGCCCCAGGCAGCTGCTGCCATGTGGACACAAGCTCTGCTGCCCAGGAGGGTCCCGTAGTGCAAAGGTCTGCAGATGGCAAAGTAGCGGTCGTAGGCCATGACAGTGAGGAGACAATACTCTGCTGTGAGCAAGAAGGAAAACAGAAAGAGCTGGGCAGCACATCCCAAGTAGGAAATGGCCCTGGTGTCCCAGAGGAAATTTGCCATGGATTTGGGGAGAGAGGTAGAGATGGAGGCCAGGTCAAGAACAGAGAATTTGAGGAGGAAGACATGCATGGGGGTGTGGAGTCGGTGGTCACAGGCTATGGCCATGATGATGATGCTGTTGCTGAGGAGGGCAGCCAGGAAGAGCCAGAAGTGCAAGAGCTGCATCTCCCGCGTGTCTGCGAATGCCAGGAGCGTGAACTTGGTGACAGAGCTGCCATTGGACACTTTGTCCCTCTGGAAACAGAAACACCGTCGAAGGAGGAAAAGACAGTGACAGTTCAGGTGATTCTTCTCTGAGCCATTGCAATTAGACCCTCCCCCTACTACACACACACCTTCTTTTCTCTTTCTGTGAGATTTTCCTTCAGCTCTGTGACTGAATCTCTGGTTGCTGCTCGCTGAATGTGCTGTGAGGAGAAGGACCTCTTCCCACGGGCTGCTGAAGATTCAGCCTTGCTCTGCAGATGAGGATTCATGGGCATGGTGGGGGAGGGGGCCTGTCTGGGTGTTTGTCTATGTTACCTGAAACTGCACCTAACTCAAAAGGGCCCACCAGCATCTGCACTCCCTGTGCTAAGGAACTGAGATAGCAGAAGGAAGTTTGAAAGGTATGGGGTTTTTTGACAGCTCCCCTCATCTCCCCTGGGCAGTGTTCTGGGATGTCAGAAACCCTCAGCATTTCTGCTGTGCTCAGGGAGAACAGGGCTGCCCAGCTGCCCTGGGCTTCCACTGTTCTGAGATGGAGAGTGGTCGCACTCCCGTGTTATCCTCAAAAGCCACCAGACACTGCTGAGAGCAGAGGGATCCCCAGCAGACCACTAGACATAGACATCTTACCCTTTCCTGAGGTCTCAGCACAACACTTCTAATCAAGGACACATGCAGCTCAGTTCACCAACCCAAGAGCATTTCCTCGGTCAGGCATAACATCTCTGCACCTCTCCTTTGGGGCTTTCAGATAACGCAGTTGTTTTACGAGAAAGATTTGCACTCTTGAGGACAGCTCAGATCTTGGAAAGACACTTCATGAAGATAGCCATGTGTCCTAATGGTGGATTCAGATTATGGGATGAATTACTTGTTCTCTGGGCTCACAGACTTCACTGCCCACAGCCCCACAGCTTAGATAAAACTGGCACACCTCATTCACCTGCACGGGAAAACCCACAAGATCAGTGTCTGACTCTGCAGCTGAAACTCCTATCCCCACAGAGCCTGACCGAGAGAGCAAGGGAACAACTTCAGAAACACAGACAAGCAGAGCAAGAAGGAGAAACACAGTGAGGTTCTAGACAAAAGAGACAGAGGCAGCCGGGCACTCAGGACACTGCTACCCTTACCCAGCTGTGCACCTTTCAGACACCAGCATTGCCAGGTCATTGCTCTCTGCCCCTGTGCTCCTCAGAGGGAACCGGGCATGTGGCATGAGATCTTCATAGTCATAGTCATCCCTGCTTTGACTTCACAGATCCCCTGGTAAATATCCTGTGCTGATCAGGGTCTGTGAGCAGCCCTGAGCCATGCAGTGCTTTCTCAACAGCAGAAGCACCCTGCCCTGCCCTCCTGGGGGTTTCTCCTTCCACCCACAGCTTCTCCTCACAACTGTATGAGGAGCTCCCCGGGCAGGCTGAGTGCTGGCCCTGGCAGGCAGCAGAGTCTCTGCAGAGAGACAGCTGTGCCCAGCAGCAGCACCTCTGCACAGCCCAGCAGGGCTGAGGGCACTGCCTGCAGGCAGCAAGGGGAGAGGAGTGAGGCAGAGAGAGGTTAAAGGCAGTGTGGGGTGGGAGGGTGCTGAGAGCTCACTGGGGGAGAAATCTTTTCAGCCGTTGACATGGTAAGTTTCTACGTGAAGGACAATGTCTTTGCATTTTGTGAAAAGACCTGCTAAAGCTGGCACATCGCACAGCCTATGGGATGCACCCTGAGGAATATCACAGTTTCTCTGTTGTAGAAGGTGAGGATGTGCTGCAAAGCAGGGACTGCCTGCTGCACCCTCAGAGGGACAGGCCAAGGCAGCTGCTT